AAATGCATCTAATACTTTCGTTTTTTTTTGTTTTTTTATGAAGCATTGCAGTCATCGACCTTCCAAACTTTTAGCACTTGGTGCAGTTGAACATTTATATACGTTTAGATATGAAAGAGTCACATGATTACCACAAGTAGTCTTTCCAATTGAAGATGTAAGAACTTGTATTTACGCCATGAAGCAAGGGAGGACAGAGCTTATGGCCGTTCTTATAATCTCAAATATGGGACTCACACTTTGTCTCTTATAAGATGATAAAAGTAAGAGAACCCCTGCTTATTCCATCTTATAAGTCACACAAACTGGATCTCATACTTTATCAGCTTATAAGAAAGGTCATAAACTCCATGCAAACATGCTCAACAATGTCACCCATTCTGTGCATATTAAAAAAGAGCTATTTTTACAGACAGACATAGAATATGAATATAGGTGCAACCTTAATAATGTTTGGTGCACAGTAATAGATAGTAACAACAGATAAGATTTTAACATTTTTTGTTCTTTATCCTGCATTGCTAGACCTAATATGCTCTCACTATACATTTTTATGAACAAAAAACCTATACGAATATTGGTAAAAATAGGTACACTAATGAGTAATAAATTATGTGTCCCATATTATTGTTATTTGCATCAATTTCTTAAAATATTACAAGCGTGCACTCGGGGCGGATCCAGGACTTCAACTTAGCTATGGCGATCATTGATCAATGATCATCGACAGTCAATGGCTGTAAAATGATGTTGTTTATTAATATTAAAAAAATTGATTTATATTTAAATATACTAAAATATAAAAATCGTATATTTATATCCAATTATAATTCAATAAAATCCGAAATAGTATCAAATACATGATACATGAAACTTCATTGTATTATTAATGCTCAACAAATCGTTCGCTTGACTAAAAATAATTGCGGGATTAGATACACTACTACAAGAACTAGGTTTAAACTTTCTTTTCAATTGAAAAAAAAATCATTCCGTAATTAGTATTAGAATTGAACGTTAATCAAGATAAAACATAATTAAAATTAATTTTAAAAAATAATTAAAGTTTCAATTTCCAATTCCCAACACCAATTTATCGCAAATTATAAATCCCCCAACTTCTCTTTTTCAATTTTCATAATTCACATTTCACACTACACAAATTAATTTTTAATATCACAATTCTCAAATTCTCAAATAACACATAAATCAAAACTCAATACTAATAAGTCATATCTCATAAATTATTAAAGTATAAAATATATAAAAAAAACAAAAACCAAAAAAAATAAATAAAATAATAATAATAATAATAATAGTCACTAACTCACTTAGAGTCTTGTCAACAGAACTGAAGGCAGAGAGGCAGGACGGCGAGTGGCCGTTGATGTAGTGGCCAAGGGAATCGTGTCACACTTGGAGGCAGGGGCTTTTACACCAATTCACAAATCAAGTACAAAGTTTAAAAAGTCAAAATTCAGGTTTCTGTATAATTAATTGAAAATATTTATTAATTAAATATAATAAAGTCACAGTTATACGATTAATGGTCACATATTCATAATTATTGGTCACAGATTTACTTATTGATCACATATCATCGAATTAATTAGTTACATATTATTTCGAGATCACAAATCAAAAAATTTGTATGTCACAGGTTATTTCGAGATCATAAATAAAAAATTTACAGGTCACAAATTATTTCATTGGTCACAGATAAAAAAAAATTACAAGTCACAATGTCACATATTCTAAATAGTTGGTCATATATTCTAAATAATCAAATTGTTGGTCACATACACCAAACACTCAACCCCTTATCCAAATTCACCACTGATACTTGGTCACAAAATCAACCAAACAGTTGGCCATAAATGCTATCCCACCCCTGCCCTTGCCACAACACCACCACATCAGATAACCGGTTCTCGCACATTAGATCGACTCCAAAACTACCCCCCAAATCTGAAACAATGACTATAGAGACGACCACCACCCACCACCACTACATCCAACCACACCACCGCCTTCTGCACTATCACCATTTGCAACCGTCACCTGCAAAAACCACCAAAAACTTTGACCTCCCCAGATCGACATGAAAACCATCCCCCAAAAACCTGAAGCGACAACTACAACAAGGACTCCCACCTAACACCATTGCATCCAACCATACCACTATCTCACATCATCGATCTGAAACAGTCCCTAACCCTAGTACCATCACCTCACCACCATGACCGCCACAACATCAACACCAATACTAAATTGCAGCGACATCATCAAACAATTGCAACAACATTGCCCCAAAAATCCGACCGCTACCTACGACAACTACCAAACCTCCAAACAACTGCACAGTTCACCACAGTGGTACTCATATCCAGGCATTGGCACAGCGTGCGTTTCAGAGTATCGTCGGGGCAAATAGAGTAGATAAACTAGCGATTGATCATCATCGGTTTAAAGCGCCAACACTAATGAAGAATGAAACCTGACGGGTGACGACGATGAAGATGAAGTGAAATGGATATAGACTAGAGAGAAAAAAATGGGTTGAGAGAGAGGGGGTGACGAAATGATTTAGGGTTTTTATATATTGGGTAAGTATTTAATTTCTGATTAAAAAAATATTCTACCCGATTTTTGCATTGTCATCTTGAAATGCCTGAATTTTGGTAATTTCTCTTTTTTTTTCCTAATCAAAAATTGAAAAGCCCAACATTTTTAAAAAAAATGCCCCGGCAAAATTAAAAAAGACCCAACGTTTTACCTTTTCCCTCTCTGGCTTGCCTTCCCTCCTTGACTCCTCCTTCAACACCTTAGCTTCGCAAACTCCATTAAAAATTAAACTTCGATGGAGTCAGCACGGGCAACCGCACCATCTCGCTGAATGCTGGCTCCAATATAAATAATTGTGAAGAGGATCACAAATTCGATGAAAACGTAATGAAGGTTGACCTTCAAGCACATCCTTGACGTGTTTCTTTATCTTCCACTTTAATCTTTTAAGGTGTGGAGATTAATAGTTTGCACATAGACTACTACCCTTATTTTCGAGCAAACAATTTTCAACTCTCTCTCTCTATCTCTCTCTCGGGATTAATTGACCACATTAGATGACATGTTTTACAAGTAATTGACAAAAATTTAATAAATGGTGGTGTGACAAAAATGTACTAAATGGTGGTGTTAAATCAAATAAAATGACTATTCCTGAAAAATTAGCATATGTATGATATGAAGTTTCTATATATGTAAAGGAATAATCTATACATGAAAATATCTATCCATAGTCTATGTTAGATTTTTAAATATCAATCTCCTTTATCTAACTATATTGATTCCCATTTTACCATGTTTAACTCTTTCAACGAAGTATAAGATCAAGAATTCGGTTTGATTAGACGTTAATGTTAGTGATGCACAACTAAAATGCGAAAGAATAAAAACCAAGGAGAAGCTTTTGTTGGAAAATTCGATTTTTCAAGATCAATGAATAAAAATGGACTTCAATGCGTGCTACGACATCACTTTCCTTAAGCATTATTTCCCCATGACTAATATGACATACAATCCCAAGAGGTACGAAGAAGATGAACCTGTCATTGTTTACTTGATTTCTCACCCATTTTTTAATAGAAATAACTTTTCTATATTTACAAGCACCATTAAATTCCTTCAAATTTATTTTGAAAATTTTTAAAATAACTTTCAGGTACATGAAAGCATTCCCTAATGATGAATGAAAAAGAGCCATATTATTACATTTTGGAAAATAATCCCACCTAGGTTTGGATTCTCTATAAATAATTTCAATTAGAATCGAATATAACATGATTGATGTTGATTTCCAATAAATTTAGTCTTATTCCGCACGCAAAACAATCAAAATGGGAGTATTCATCAATTGACATGCAACATGTATTCGTTTGATTTTATTTTACATGAAAATTGTTAATTAAAGGGATATAATTTACTAGTATTGGTGATTGTCACCATTGCCCAAAAAAAAAAAAAAAAAAAATCATCTATCTTATATTTGTTTGATTTTGTCTTATATGAAAATTGTCAAATAAAAGAAAATATTTTTTTACAATTAGGGATAGAATTCGTTTCTATTGTTAAAAAAAAAAAAATGTAGATCAACCTAGAAATCATTGAAAACCAAGAAAATTCCACAAATCAAGTAAACCAAGAAAGAGAATTGCCATGGGAAAAAAAAAAAAAAAACATGCTATCAAAATGGCAAAAGTGGGAAACCAGAAATGGAATTTAAATTCCATTTTCTATGAAATTTTCGCCCCTATCAAACAGGCACTTAGATTTTATGTGATGTCGATATGGAGCTTGGACTTTCCAGTCAGAGTTACAAATTGTGCCACCACATGGGTATAGAGGGGATGAGGGGCGTGACCATCCTACGTCCAATTTTTATTTTATTGAACTTCTATCATTGGATGTGATCCCTCACAATCTCACCCAACATTGCTTCATTTAATCTCGAATGGCATGTACATACAAGTCCAATTCTACTTGAACCATATTATTTCCTCATTAAAATGATTTGATCGTTATTCATCACATCAAGTCATCATTTTAACTTTTTATCTCTTGTATGGAATTCATAATATTTATATTTTTTATTCTCATTTTTACAGTAATGTGGCTCAAACAGAGGTTTAATTTGACAACTTGAAATTTAGTGATTGTTTTGTAGAGATTTTGATAATTATTTTTTGACCGTTTGAGATAAAGTGGGTCTTATTTGTGAGAGAAAAATTCAAAAATAATGATTGAAATAGTGAAATAACAGTAAAAAAATTAATTTTAATTATCTTTTAGTCCTACCAAACAAGCTCTTAAATTTCATGAATCTACGTCCTCATTATTTTTATTTTTAACTTCGTCATTTGCATTTGACGAGTGGAAGAAACCGTGTAAACTGTTACCGGTTTTAAGAAACATATCATGTACGTCGAAACTCAAGCACAGTTCCGACAATCCAACGAATCGTCATCGTTCTTTTCAAATATTGTAAAAAAACAAGAAAGGAAAGAAAGAAGAGGCAAAAGAAAAAGAAAGAAATTACACAAGCACGCGGAGGGAGGGAAAGGGCTCAAATTTTATCAAAAGCCCTCTTAATCTCTTCGTGAAAAAATAAAATATCCCGAATTTAAGAAATTTGTGAAACCATATGATTATTAATTTTTTGATTCGTTATTGTATTTATTATTGTCATATGGTTCACAAATCTTTAATTTTTCATGCGCCGATCCATTGCCCGCTCGGTGAATCGTAGATTTGAAACCAAAATGGATACGGTCAAGCTCCAGTTACGATCGAACCGACCTGTTTTTCGAAGCTCCTACAGCAAACAATCAAACCCCAGATCAAGAATTTTGCTATACACTTCAATTTCCATAGCCATCATATTGTTTTGCTACATATTGTTTTTTCCAAACAAAACTAGGCTACATACAAAATACAGGGTGGTGATTGATGGGGGGAGCACTGGGACGAGGGTTCACGTGTTTAAGTACGAGGTCAGGAGTGGGAATTTGGTGCTTGATTTCACGGAGAAAGGGTTAGTATCGATGAAGGTGAATCCGGGGTTGTCAGCCTATGCGGAGAAGCCCGAAATGGCAGGGGCCGCAGTAGCAGAACTGGTGGAGTTTGCAAAGAAGAATGTGCCTAGGGAGGATCGGGGAGAGGCTGAGATTCGGTTAATGGCGACTGCCGGGATGAGATTGTTGAAGAAAGAGGATCAAGAGAAGATCTTGGATGTATGCCGTAGAGTTTTGAGGGGGTCGGGTTTTAGCTTCCATGATGATTGGGCAACAGTCATTTCAGGTACAGAAACCGATATTGTGCTTTCTTGCTTTGATTTGCGCTTTTCGTACTATTGATATTGAAAATAGATACTGATATATTCATTCGTTCAAATGGAATTCGTGGAACAATGTGAATCTTGTCAATTGCTTTGATTAAAAAGCAAAAATCTTGAAATTTGAATTTATCCTTTATTCAATGGTTGTAAATGTTAATTGTTGTAGGTAGCTTGAAAGCAGCAAAACGGAAAACATAATGCTCAGGTTGATGTTAATTATGGACTCTAGTTGAATTAGTTCGTGCAAGTTTAGCAAGACTGGACTTTATAATGACTTATTTTTCTTCGTATCAAATGCGTCATTAGATTTTTATGTGGTGGATAATGGATAAGTATTGAGTGCTTGTTTGGTAAACATTCTCTAAAATTTTATCAACTTTTCAACTCATAAATTTTAACCGCACGTTTCATTGAGTCCGCAACTTTTATCAATTTTTCAACTCACTTTTCTTCCATTTTTATCGAAATCTACTAACACTATTATCATAACCTTTGTCAAGCAACTCCTAGATTGTATAGTTGGTTTTGGGTAGAGGTTGTGGATACATTTTAATGGAATATTTGTTTGTTCTCGAACAAAAATTTTAAATTTCTTGTGAGTCGAGGATGCAAAATGCTAGCAGCGTCTTGATTTGAATTTTCTCTTAATCAATCAGACTTAGTTGCCCAGATTTCTTTGATTGCTTTTAGGATATATTAGATGCTTTTATTTTAAATTCCATCTCCCTGTGTATATATTTGTGTTTATTTCTGCGCATTGTTGCACATCAGTGTTATTTTGTAAGTTCTGATCTTAGACATTTCGAATTATTAACATCTAATTCTTCAATTGCCCAAGGCTCTGATGAAGGTTTATATGCTTGGGTTGTCGCAAATTATGCTCTTGGAACACTTGGAGGTGATCCTGCAAAAACAACTGGGATTATTGAACTTGGTGGTGCTTCTGCTCAGGTTCAAAATCCGTTTTTAAATTATTGTTTGTTTATTGTGACTGTTCATTCTGTTAGAGATACAATTTCATTCATTACTTGGTTACTCTAATACTCTCTGCCAAGTGGACCATGCAATACGGTATATGTTCCTTTAGTGTATGTTTGGTACACAATGCTCGACAGTATAATAAAAAAAATATTTTCTTTTTGTTTTGCATTAATAGTGTTAAGTACTATGATAGATTCCCGACTCACATAATAAAATAACAGGGGCAGAATAGGAAAATGAATGGAAATAGTTAGCAGCACATGCAAGTAACAGAGGCAGCTAGAGAATTAGTTTGATACCATTTTAAATAGACCGAAAAAACAGAGAGGAAGAGATACAATTTCATTCATTACTTGGTTACTCTAATACTCTCTGCCAAGTGGACCATGCAATACGGTATATGTTCCTTTACTGTATGTTTGGTACACAATGCTCGACAGTATAATAAAAAAAATATTTTCTTTTTGTTTTGCATTAATAGTGTTAAGTACTATGATAGATTCCCGACTCACATAATAAAATAACAGGGGCAGAATAGGAAAATGAATGGAAATAGTTAGCAGCACATGCAAGTAACAGAGGCAACTAGAGAATTAGTTAGATACCATTTTAAATAGACTGAAAAAACAGAGAGGAAGGGGGGGAGAAAACTGAGTATAGTCTTGGGGGAGAGAATTGGCGCTCTCGAAAAGCCAAATACCTTTTTATTGCATTCATTGTTGCTGAATACATTTACATAGCAGTAGGGCTATGTAATTCCTACCATCTACCTAGATATTGTAATCATTAATCAAAGTTCTCCTATTACAGAATATCAGATAGTATTTTACATCATTTAGGCGTTGGCATCTTCCTTGCTGTGTTCAATTCTTCTGCAGTATTCATTCTCAAGTGCAGGAACCTATCATACTATCGTTCAGTTACATCTGAGATTCATTTTACAGATTTTGATAATAATTTGTGCATGATCCTTTTTGACAATGTCAGGTTACCTTTTTCTCAAATGAGCCAATCCCTCCTGAGTACTCTCGAAAAGTGAAATTTGGTAATTTCACTTACATCCTCTACAGTTACAGCTTTCTTCAGTTTGGACAGGTAATTTTCTTTTGAAGCAATTTCTTTATTTTGGTGTTAGTAGTGGTATTGTCTCCGTGGAGTTTTATGTATTTTGTGTTTGATATTGATTTATTGTGAATGTGGGATGCAAGAAGCTTGCTGTTGACTCCTAGAACTTGTATGTTTTTTTCTGCTTCCAATTGCAGGATATCCCCAAGGGGTTGTGCCCCCCCCCGCCGGATGGGTTCTCCCCCTTCGCATATTTGTATTGTTTTGGGCATTTGTAAGATTTCAGCTATGCAGTTCAGGTATCCATAACTGGTGCTAATTTTTGCAGAATGTCGCACGTGAATTACTGAATGAATCACTTGTTTCGAGAGGCCAAGAGATGGGTAAGTCAAGTCAAAATGTTCTTTGCCCCTGTGTGAGCCCCATTTTGTGAAGAATGCATTTTTTCAAATCTCATTTTCAACCACAAATTCTCCCATAAAATAATTATACACGTATTTTAAAAAAATTCCTTACTTTTTAACCACACATTCTCCAAAAAATCACTACTCCATAATACATTTTATCCAAAAATGGGAATCAAACAAGGGCTTCATTATTGGTTTTGTTTTGGACAATCATGAAGTCATAGCATAGGATCATGTTGTCTGAAAGAGTTTTAGGTGTTTCGTTTCGATTATTAGGATACAATTTTAGAATTGGAGTGGGTTGAACGAAATGCAGTAGTATTATAGGATTATGTGATTGGAAGACGCACACTGATTTAAAGGGCAGGTTGTTCATAACTGTTATTAGAACTGATGATAAATTATGATTTTATATGTGGTCATACTGGAATAGAAAAAATAAGAATCGAGGATAAATAGCTGAGGCATGTTTTGCATATGCCTAAAGAACTCTCATTATAAGGGGACCAAAATTACTATGACCTAATTCGGTTTAAAACGATTTTATTTCATTTGAACCTTTCGTTAGATGAAGAACTAGTTCTGACAAAATTGTCAAAATAAATTCAGTTAGCCTACCTGCAGATTACTGAGAGTAACAACTTCTTGTTGCTTCAAATTGATTTTGGAAATTTTTTGCCATTTCATTTCCTCGTGATATTATACATTGTTATACAATATTCCATTTAGAAAGCAGTTTGGGGTGGAAAACATTAATAAGTACCCGCTTTCGCCTTTTACCATATACCAGACCAGACCTTTTTAATTTTAGTTCTGATAAAGGCCCAAATACTATTTTTCTTTGATTTTAGGACAGTAAGTGAATGTTTAATGCAGAGGATTAGATCGTAAATCGTTCTGGACAGTGGTACGATTAACAAGACTTTAACTTATTCTTTTTAACGCTGCAGGTTTTACTATTACACGGTCTAAAATACCATAATTTTCTCAGTTCTTTAATTTAGTTTTTTTTAATGCAGGTATCGAATCTCTTCAGCACGTGAAACCTATTGATCCTTGTACTCCTCGAGGGTACTTACACGACAATGGGACATGGAAACTTTCTCCAAATGGTAATTTCTCTGAGTGCAGATCTGCCTCATTAAAGTTGTTGCAGAGAGGGAAAGGTATTTTCTTTACACATTTCATTGTTATGTTTTTCATTATAGTCTGCAATTCTGTGATTTTTTGTCTACGGACTACAGTAGAGTATTCAGCTGTAAACCTGTTTACATGGAATGCAGATAGCTGCTCTTATCAAAACTGCTTCATAGGATCGACATTTTTGCCCAAGCTCCAAGGAAATTTTTTGGCGACAGAAAATTTCTTCTACACTTTGAAGGTTGCACATTCATTTTGGTTCTTAGATAATTTTTAACAAGGTTTACTCATACAAGTTTGAAACAAGTAACTTAGCCCCGGTTTGATAACCATTATTTGGGGAAAATAAAGTTTTGAACAATGATTTTGAGGAGAATGTGGGGTTAAAAATTTGAAAAAGTTATGGATTTACATGCAAAAAAAGTTATTGTGTGAATGTGTAGTTGCAATATGAGTATGCAGAAAAAAATGTTTAAAAATAATGGTTGTCAAACAGGGGCTTATGTTGATAGTTATGTAAGAGTTGCTTAAAAATCAGTAACTCTTTTTTAACTAAAAGGAAAAAAATTAATATTTGAAAACAAAAATTTACTTGAACTCAAGTTTTACTTGCTTTCGCAATTAGTAAAAATTTGGCTATTATTACCATTTTGGAATTCTGGTTTTTAGGAGGACCTCTTTTAAACTTTCTTTTTTCTCAATTTGCTTAAATAGTTCTTTGACTTGGCCCCGAGAGCCTTTCTTTCTGATCTCTTGGTTGCTGGACAACAATTTTGTGAAGAGGATTGGTCAAAATTGAAGAAGAAATACCAGTCTCTCGAGGAAGAGGATTTGCGTCGCTATTGCTTCTCTTCTGCATACATTGTGGCCCTACTGCATGACAGTCTTGGATTTGCTTTGGATGATGAGAGGTATTATTTAATCAGTGACCACCCAGAAACATACCACTTTTATCAACTTATTTTTGTCATAATATAATCATTTGGGTTTGGCCTTCAAGTTGTAACATTTTCCACCCTTTATTAGTGAAAACCAAGATGGAAGAGAGAACTGCAAAAGAAATAGGAAAATTTAAACGGGGAGAAATTTATAAGGATATGTTTGGCACACATGATTGCATAGGACTGGAGAGTATAATAGACAAGATTTTAGTTTTTTTCATATTGTCTACTATAGTTCATCATACCAAACGTGTTTAAAGTATTTGTCTGTTGACCAAATTTCATCCATCGAATGGCATTTATGTGCAGAGTTGGATACGCTAATCAAGTACAGAATATCCCCCTCGACTGGGCATTGGGAGCTTTCATCTTGCAGAGCACAGCGAAGTTGGATTTGCAGCCTTTTGACTGGATTCCCTTTGTACTAAGTGGGAACTCTTCAGCATTGCTGCTTATATTCGGAATTCTCCTTGTGTGGATTGCTGCATGGTTTCTGTCAAAGTGGAGAAATCCTCAGTTGAAGACTATTTACGATCTCGAGAAAGGAAAGTATATAGTTACACGGGTCAATAGGTACTCGTAGCCTTTTGGGAGAACACGAGTCTATCCTGTATTTGTGGATTGAAGGGAGACTGCCGAGTAGTATTCAAATGTATTTATGGTGCTGCTATTCAATACTGTGTAGGAAACATACACTAAGTGATACATGGCCATTCGGCGTGGATATAAATTCTAGCTTCATACAGTACGAGCATATTATACAATACGGAAGAATACTTATATAATCTAACAATTTTCTGTCCATATTGTAGACAGGTTTAGAAATGTGTTTTCCGGAGTATATAGAATAGAGATTGGAGAGAGATTTACATGATAGTGATCGGTTCTTTGCTGGTTAGTTTCAGTGCTTTTGCCTACTGTAACTTGTTCTCCTGTTTCAAGTGCAAACGTTGAAGGGGTTATGTCAAGGGAAAATTACATGGGAGCAGGTCTTTAAAGACCACTTTTAAAGAATCAGGTACAAAGTTTAATTAAGCATAAATCAGGTTTTAATTATATGTTTTAATATTAATAATCTTATAATTAACCCACCCAACCCTAAATTCGTTTCCCCCTTTTTGGCTCTCTCATTTCGCGTCTCTCTGCAAGAGTTTCTCCTCTCCGGCGACATGGCACCTTAGGTGTTGAGGCATGGCATCGGAGGTGCAGCCGCCATTTCGCACAACTCCATTGCCGATGCTATTGCACGATCGTGGTTTCGCCGCTTCTTTGCTCACGACGATGACGGCAAGGGGTGTGAGCGTCGCTTCTTCTCTGTTCATATTTGCCGGCCGACACTGTTGCGAACGGCAGAATGGCGACAATGTGACGTAGCGACGCTGTCGCGAACGGTGTGGTGTAGTGGAGGTATGGTGTGTTGTGGTGGTGAGTCTTGTGCGGTGAGTCTAAGTAGCAATGTTGGGAGTCTGGTATGGTGCATTTTATATTTTGGGTGGTGTTGGTGACTTTGTGGGGGTGATGGTGGTGCAATGAATCTTGGTGGGAATGCGGTGATGGTGGTGATTTGGGTGGTGGTGGTGAGGTTGGGAATGGTGTATTGTTGGTTGTGTTTGGTGTTGGTGCTTGATGTGGTGGTCGTCCTGGTGGCTATGGTGGTTTCTGGAGGTGGAGATGGTGGTGAGGTTGTGGGTTTGTTATCATTGGTGTGTTTGGTGGTAATGGTTGTGGTGGTTTCTGGCAACGACGGAGGTGGTTGTTAGTGGCAGCGATTTTGTTGGTAATGATGTCATGTAGTTGGTGTTGGCGGTGGTTGTGATAGTGTTGTGGCCGGGGTAGTGTTTGTGACCAAGTACTATGGTGGATCGGGATTGGGTGTTTGATGTTTGTGACCAATTATTTGATCTCCTCGTAACTGATTATTAATCCGTGACTTAAATTTCGATCATTTTGTGATTAAAAAAGTAATCTGTGACAATCAAATTTGAAAATATGTGACCCGTGACCTATAATTTTTTGGATTTGTAACCAATAACATAAACTGTGACATATAAAATTGATGTATAAATTGTGATCCGTGATCGCGAAATAATTTGTGACCTATCAAAGTTTCGATTCGTGACCTCGAAATAATTTGTGACCAATTAATTTGATAATATGTGATCAGTGAATAAATTTGTGATCTATAATTGTGTGCACATGACCATTAAATATATAATTGTGATTTTGTTATATTTAATTAATAAATATTTTTAACTAATTAGATAAAAACCTGATTTTTGCATTATTTAAACTTGAAACATGGTTTTTGAATTGTGCATAGTTAATACATGGTTTATGAATTTTTCCCTTATGTCAAATTGAATTATAACTTCCCTTTTCTTTAGATATTTTGTGACCCTGCAGGGGTGGTGTGGCTGGTACTGGTAGCCACCCAAGCTCGGGTTGGCTTGTTGGACGAGCTGGTTGTGGCCTATGGCCCTCCATGTGTAGTGCTGGGTTGAGTTGCCTCGTGAGTACCTAAAAGAACAGATTTTACATAAATTTATAGTAAAAATTAAAGATGATAATAAACTGAGCTCGACATGAAAATAGGGTTGGCTCAAGCAGGGAAAGCCCAAGATCCAGCCTGTGAATTCTATGACTAAGGGCTCGGTTTGGCTTGCAAGTACCTTACGATATATGTACTTATTTGAATTTGATGGATTTGCAGCCCCCTCATTACAATTATTTTATTTACATGAGGGGATTGTACACTGTGTGCTTTTTCCTTTGAATTTTGTTAGAAGTCCCTTGCCCGTGACATGCATTAGCAATCAAGTAGATATGACTTTTTGGAATTTAAAAAATTTAAGGGTATTCAATTGAGACTCTCTAAAAATATTGATGTATTCAATCAAGACTTTTATTGGCTTATAAGAAGTCTCTAAAAGTTGCAGTGTATTTAATTGAGACTTTTATAAATTTTAACAAAGTCTATAAAAGTTACGGTGTATTCAATTTCTCTATAAGGCTCTGTTTGTTTTCCATTTATATAAAAAATGAGAATGAAAAATATAATCGTTACGAATCACACACAAGAGGTAGAAATTTAAATATGGTGGCTTGATGTGACGGAAATGGTCATATTTTTCATTTTAATGGGGAAAGAATAGGAAACGAATAGGGGCTAAGTTTTGGAGTATTCAAATTTTAATAATTTCTAGGGACTTTTATAAAAGTTTCTGAAATACTAACTTTTAAACAGAAAATACTCATGTAAAATTTTAAAATTTTCTCTCTCATTAATCACACTTCTCTATTTTATATTTCGAATTATATTAATTCTTTCGAATTCGAATTATTTAATTATCACGATATTTTGGGAGACTTTTAAAAAAAAAAAGGTTTTTTATTATTATTTTTTTTAATCTTTCTTTCATTTTTCCTTCTATAAATAAGTATGATTAAAATTTATTTTTTTCTATTGATATATTTATTTTTATCTCTCTCTCTCTCTCTCTCTCTCTCAATTTTTTTTTCATTAATTTTTTGTGAAAAAAATCTATTTTTTATTAAATTATAAAATCTTATATGAAAAATTAATAATTAAATTTAAACATGTTTATTTTTATTTATTTTTAAAAGTACATTATATCAATACTATTGAATATTAAATTTATTGTTTATCATATATATGTATAATTTTGATTATTATTTATTTAATTAAAGTCTTAAATTTTTATTCTTAAATTTTTTTATTATTTTTTATTATTATATGGGAAGAAGGATGGGAAGGAAAAGGAAAATTGTAGAAACAAACACCTTGTATGTGAGAATTTTATATCATTGTACTGGATCCACGTGAATTTTGTTACAAACAAAAGTCTTCAAAAGTCTTTCGAATACTACAAAAGTCTATAAAAATTTTTAAATGAAAGTCCATAGAAATCTATGAAAAACTTTCTTTACTTCCATAAAAATCTATAAAAGATCCATGAAATCCAAAAAAATCATCACTTAAAAAAATCCATCAAAATCTTCAAAATTCCCAATTGAATACACATCAGATGTAATTTGAGTTAATTTATTCATATTTTCCTTCTTATATAACAAACAGATCGGACCATGGAATAATCTCATAGTAGAGCAAGCTTCTCCTTTTTATTTTTCTTGTGAGACATTCCATTTGCAGTGTCCCGCCTTGTCTTTCAAAATCACATTTGCTTTAAGAGACTGGACCATTTGGAAATAAAGAGAATAAATAAATTTTATTTTTTATTTTTGGATTATTTCATGTTTAATTACACCATTTAACCGAAGCATATTGGTCTCGTTAAGTGGGGCCCTTTTGTTCAAACATAAATCGATCGAGTCCAACTATCTTTTGCTTTCTTTTATAATTTGCTTACAACTCAAAAGATGCTATAAACCCTTTGTGGTTAAATAGAGTAACTGTACTTTAGAGTATCTAACAAAGTAGTACACCAAACTATAGGTAATTAACAATGCTTCTTGATGTAACTGTTTACAACTTTTGATTAACATATCGACTGGTAAAATGTTTACCCACAAAACTCGATATCAGTAGCATTTTTTGATGTTTATTCTTACGTCACGTGTATTCAAAATTTTCTTCGATATAATCTTCTGTACCTTAATTTTTGGACATCACGGTTGAACCATTTCTCTAATGTTACAGAACAGCTTGATATAGCTGCAAATAAATAAGTGTGCTGCCTCTATGCTATCTCGATCTTTGCTTCTCGTGCTTGAGTCTCACAAGTGGATCTCAACAACGAGAATGAGAGTCAAGCTTACAAGTTTATCTCAATCTCTTTAATGTAGCTTAGAGCGGTTATTCCAGTTATGAAGGAAGAGAAGACGTCCGAGAATGTTTAAATGGTTGGTAATGAGTAACAAATAGAGACGAATGACAATGAATTATCATACTAGACAATAACGATGGGTTTCTTTTCAATGAAATAATGGAATACACAAAAATTATTGAACAACTTCAAGAAGCATTTTACCGTCGGGTAAATTACCTTCATTACATGTTTGACTCGCTTTATAAATACTCGAACATATGAGACTCAATTCATTGGCTTATAATATTTTACTTAGCATTTTATAGTATCATAGTTACACCAATATAAATTCTACTTCAACGTATCTAAATTATAATTTTGGAAGGTCAAATTAGAGACCAACCTCGAATCATGTACCTTGTAATCTTTGAACGACAAATTCTTTAATGTTAATATAACAGTGAATCTCATCAATGCAAGTTCAAATAAAGCATATGAAGGTGTTCTTTAGAATGTTCCAACTTGCATCTATTTTTGTAATTAATTACTATAAAAAAAAGGTGGATAAAGAAAAAGAGGGCCTGCTTGGTTAATTGGGAAAATAAATTTATTTTTCTCATTTTTAAGAGAGGGTCACTTGAATGGGATCTTCATTAAAACATTGAATGAAAAAAATAAAAAATAAAATATAAAAGAAAAGAAGAAAGAAAAGCATGAAAAGGAAAACATTTAGCACAAGAGACCAAGACTGGTTTTTTGATTTTTTTTTTTTTTTTTTTTTTTTTTTTTGTTGTTGCATAGATATGAGAGCTTGGAATTCTAAAGTAAGATATTCAAATGGCATAAAGCTAATGTTTGGTTCCAATCTTTTTTTCTACACAATTTGCTTTTACGACTGCTAGCTTATCCCTCTTTGAGACCTTGTTTTTGGCTGCTCAAGCTAAACCTTCTTTCTTAATAACTAAGGAAGATTGATTACCACAAAGGCGATATAAAAG